TTTCCTGCTATTATCTTTAGGATGGTTTACTTTAGAAAATAATAATAGATAGCTAACATATATTCTTTTCCTATATGACAGACATTATTCTAAACCCTTTATATATGTTAAGTCATTTATCTTCATAACCCTATCAAGTGGGTACTGTTAATACTCTCATTTTATAAATGAGAGGTATAGAGAGATTAAGAAATGCCAAGGCCATACAAATGGTAAGTGGTAGACCTGGGATCTGAATTCAAGACAGTCTGGCACCAGAGTCTGGTGCTTAGCCAGAGAAGACAGTCAGTTGCCCTCTATGGCCTCCCTTTCTCTCTAGTCTCATCCTGGCCCCCACCATTTTCAGGGTATTTGCAGGGGGTGAGGGTCTGCTGAAGAAATGTTGGCACTGGAAACAGTGAGCCTCTCTCTCAGTGATGGAAATAACTGGGTGGGGGCCGATATTCTTTCTTTGCTAGGGCTGAGCTCCTTTCATGAGGAGATTGACAGGCAGACAAATTTGCTTTGTCCATGGTCATTCTTTGATGATGATGAGTCCAGAGGCGTTTCCAGAGCCACTGCAGTGTATGTTGGAATCACTATGCCTCACTCACCTCTATCTCCCACAACCAGCACAAAGCCGGCCACCACAGCTGAAGAATCATTGTGACACAGTAATATTATAATGGCTATCATTTAGTGAATATTCTTTTCATGAGCTCCCCCAGGGTGGAGTGGGGCTCTTGCAATGGGTCACATAGGAGTGACCTTGGGGAGAGGAAATGCAGAGTGTCTTCCACCGTTGAGTCCCATTGCAAAGCTGACTCAGTGCAGGAAGGAATGGCTCTTGGCTTCTAGTTCAGAGCACGATGAGACCTCATGCTTCAGAGAGATGTTAAAAAGTCTCTCTACCAGCTGCCTATCAGCACCTAAGACAGCTCTGGCTGCTTGGGTACATGCACAGCTGGTATTCCCACTTGCCAAGCACAGTCCGTTGCCACGGGTGTGGCTCTGTAAGACAGCTGGGCATTTTGTGGAGTGGAAATCCGTTTTCCTATGGCTTTCAGCAGTTGGATCCGATCCTACCTGTAGGATGCTGGGGAGCGAGTCAGCTGCCCTTGTACAGCCACACAGAGATATGAACGCAATGACCACATCCCCCCTGAGTTTTTCCTTTCAGATTACATATGCACAGGTGCTTCTTGTTGGCTTCTCTCACAAGGTTTCCAGACCCTTCCGCAGCCAAGGTTGTGTCGATCGACTGCTTCCACTTGGTTTACAGCTGTCTGCATATGGAGCCACTTCATAGATCACCAGCCCACATCAGGGCAAACCTTGCCTTCCTAAGGGCCTCTATAAGGAGTGCCTAGGATCAGAAATTAGTGCTCAACTTCCAAGGAGTTTCAGGGCTTTGTGGTGAGTCTGGCTTTCATTCAGAAAGGAACAGTGTAAACAGAATTAGGTCTGTGGGTGGAAAGAGATGATAATAGCTAAGATTTTGGAATGCTTACTGCATGCCAGACACTGCAGTATACATGATGAATTATCTCGTTTAATCTGCTCAAAAACTCTTGTGGGTGCTGTTTGGATCCTTATTTCACAGCTGAAGACATTGAGGCCTACAGTGGCCTGAGGATCTTCCAGGGCTGGGTGGCACATGTGAAGACTCAAGCCAGACATTAGCAGGGAGCAATGGGGGAAGACTTTGGGTTTCAGCAAAAGGAAGCATCTGGGTAGTGGTTATGTTTCAGAAAAGTCAGGCGTTACAGTGAAAAGGGGAGCTGGTGTGAGAATAAGTGTTGTAAGGTCCAAAGACCCAGGGGGAGAAAGCTGTGCAGGAGTGGCAGCAGAAGGCCATGGTGTGTAGGGAAGTAGTAACAGTAACGGCCACCACTTGTTAAGTGTGCGCCAGGCCAGCACTTTACAGACATAATCTACTTTAATCTTTACCAGAACTCTAAAGGGAATTACTACGATTATGACCCCTATGTTACAGATGAGGAAAGTGAGGCTCAATGAGGTTAAGTGACTCCTGAAATCTACAGGGCTAGGAAGCAGCAGCATCAAGATTAATTCTGACTGCTTACTCTGGGCCCATGGACCTATGCTGACTCCCAAAGGGAAAGACTATGGCATCCCTGAAGGAAAGGAAACTTCTTTCCCAAGAGACTGGAGGTAGAGGGGTGGGGGCGAGGTCTTAGAACTTACAAGGCAGCTCAGGGCTGCAGGCACTGTCTGGTACCCCTCAGAAAGGACAGGGAACCTGAGCCTTGCAGACAGTTTTGCCAGCTCTCTACACTAGCACCACACCAATCGTGAGGCTGTCTGAACTTGGGTTTGCCTTGGAAAGAGATTCTCTGAAGGCCTGGGAACCTCAGAGAACATATCTATGACTAGATATGCTATCTCAGGATCAGAAACCCAAGTTGTAAAATGACTTCTGTGTCTTTACCTGTATAGTTCCTTTAAAATTTTTTTGTTCAAGCTTTAGTGAGCATCAGAATCCCCTGAAAGACCTGTTAAAACAGATTCCTGGGCAGTGTCCCCAAGATTTTACTTTAGCAAGACTGGAGATGTGGCCAGAGTTAAAAGATGATGCTGATGCAGTTGCCCCTGGGATCACATTCCAGAACAACTGCCTCATTTAATTGGCTACTTTTGAACATTTCTAAAGTGACTTGACTGTGAAAAGCTAAGTACGGAGCGCTTGTCTATGGGCCAAAGGTTTTGGGAATAGACTGGGGTACAGACTTAGTGCCCAGCTCGGTGAACGACTGCAGAGGGACAATGGTGTGGACTGGAGAAGACAGGTCACAGCCAGAAGGAATGAGCTGTTCCTGCAGGGGAACAAAGGGAAGCAAAGGCTTGGGATGAGCTGGGCGGAGGAGCCAGGCTGGCCAAAGAGATAGAGATCCGGCAAGGGCAGAAGTCAAATGGGGTGGAATTGCTGTCAGAAGCTGCAGGCTCTTGGCTGCACTGTAGGGAAAGAACTAGAACTGGGGGCAAGTAGCCAGGAGTGAGCTCCCGGCTGTGTGGCCCTGTGACAGTCTGGCGATCACATTTCAGCTGCGACTCACTGTCTCCAAAAGCCTCTTTCTTCCTCCTCCTGGGGTGGTGTCAGTCCGTCGCAAAGTGCTCAGGAATTACCTTCTGACAGTAGTGAGGCAAGTCCTTGATGGGAGAGAACTGGGGACAGTGCCAAAGGCTGCTTCCTTCCCTTAGTGGTGGGAAGGAAGGGGCAGGCAGGGGCAGGGCTGGGAGCTACGCAGTTGCTTGCTTTGACCTCTGATGTTCTCTGGTCCTGGGCTGCATTTCTTCCTCATTAGGAACTGACTCAGCTTCGATGTGCAATGCAGAGAATGGCCTTTGTGGCTGCAGCAGTGGCCCAGTGGCAGGGGCCTGGCTGCTGCACTCACTGCTCCTCATGGAAGCGAGGAGGTGTGGCTAGAAGACTCCCCTTGGAATGAAGAGAGGGGACATATTTCTGCAGGGCTGCATGCCACAACTCCTTTCAGCTTGCAGGGGTGAAATTGTGCACATATGCCATCCCTGACACAAACTCGTGCCCCCCTTGCCCCATGCCTTTCATTTCATTTCTTGCATATCTCTGTCCAGCTAAAAAAGTGTTTATTGAGTGCATAGCATGTGGCAGGCCCTATGCTGGGGGACACAGATACAGGGAAAAGACTCTCGACCTTCAAGAAATAACAGTACTGTTAGAGACCCAGGTATGGTCATCATTACAGCACCATGGGATAAACAGTTTCTCAAACTGAGCTGATTTGGGCCCCAGGGAATTTTTCTTTGCTGTTCATTCTGTCTAGAATGCTGTTCCCCAGATCCAGATATGGCTCATCCTCTTGCCTTACGCAGGTCACTCCTGGCAGACACTGTCCTTGACCTCCTTATGAAAAATTGAATCATCTCTATTTTCTGAATTCATTCATCCCATGTAATTTTTCTTTCATTATTAAACAAATATCATCTATTTGAAAGGCGGAGTGACACAGAAGGATATAGACACACACACACACACACACAGGCAGAGTGAGTGAGAGAGAGAGGAAAAGAGAGAGAAAGTGAGAGAGACAAAGAGACTCTTCCATCCTCAGGTTCACTCTTCAAATACTTTAAAGCAGCTAGGCCTGGCCATGCTCAAGCCCGGAGCCCAGAACTCCATCCGGGTGAATGGCAGGAGCCCAAGCGCTCCACCGATCATCTGCTGCCTCCCAGGTCCATGAGCAGGAAACTGGATTAGAAGCAGAGGAGCTGGGAGCTGTCGGCGTGGCAAGAGACATATTAACCCACTGAGTCACAGCACTCGCCCCTGTAATTTTTCTTTGTAACACCGATAATCATCTCACATATTAATTGTTTTTGGCCAGCCAGCAGAATCAATCGGTAGTAGCTTCCTCCTGGTCTCCTATGCGGGTGCAGGTGCCCAAGCACTTGGGCCATCCTCCACTGCTTTCCCGGGCCACAGCAGAGAGCTGGACTGGAAGAGGGGCAACTGGGACTAGAACTGGCGTCCATAAGGGATGCCGGCGCCACAGGCGGAGGATTAGCCAAGTGAGCCACGGTGCCGGCCTTAAGAGTCATCCAAAAGCACGAGCCCCACCAGCTCTGGAAAGAACTTTTTCAAATCTATGATCCTCTCCGAATTTCTAAAGTCTATACTGGGCCACCATGCCAGACCAAGCAGCTCTAGACTCCCAATAAGTACTATAGTCTACTTAGCACTAACAACGCACTAGGCCCTTCAAAAACATCGTACGATCCCCACCATCCTCTGCAAAGTCTGCATCAATTCTCTTATTTTCTGCCACATTCTCCCTCCGTCCCGTGCTCTCTGCAGCGTCTCCACCAAGACCCCTCAAAGCCTTTTCCCACGCCTGCAAGCCTAGCTCCTTCCCTCCGACATGGGCTGGCTTGGCTACGCTCCCCACGGGCGGGCCCGGCTGCTGAGTGCCCAGCAGCCCATTGCAAGGCCTGCAACGATGACGCACGCTCTGTTAGGGGGTTAAAGACGAGGGTAGGGAGGAGCGGCTGCAGACGGTCCTGCCCGAGGCGGACACCCAGGGCTCACTGGTGCGGGGGCACCTGACGCCCCGCGCGAGCCCTTTGGGCGGCACTGCGCAGGCGCGCGGCGCCCTCGCCCCCTCCCTTCTTCGTGCCGCCCTTTCACCCTGGCAACCGCGGCGCGACAACGGCGCGCGCGCTGGCTGGGCGCGGACGGGCGGGGCTGGGCGGCGCCGGTGCGGGTGGAGGCTGCGGCCGCGGGTAGCGGTCTTGGCGTGTCCCACCTCCTTCGGCGTCTTCGCACGGTTCCTCCTCGTGGGTTCGGGCCCAGCGGCTTTACCCCTCACCATGGACTCCCAGAAAGTAAGAGGGGGCGGGGAGCGCGGGGCCCCCGAGGCTGGCGGGGTGGGCGGGGCGCCCCGGCTGGGTGGGCGCGCGGTGCGCGTGGCGGGCTGGGTTGCGGCGTCGCAAGGCGAGGCCGCTTCGCCTCCCTCCGGATCCGGGGCGAAGCGGGGCCCGCAGCGGTGCGCGAGCCTCGCCCAGTGACCCGGGCTGGCCTCTGCCCTGCACCTTGTCCTGGGCCCTGGCTCAGGGAGCCGAGCCCATGGTGTAATGAGCCACTTTCTGCGGCGCCCCAGGCCCCCATTGATTTTGGGGAGGACCGATCCCTCTTGAGTCGATAAGGGAACCGCGGCGATCCCAGAATGGTGTCCCCAGGCCCTGGGGGTCAGGGGCCCAATCTCCTTTGTACTGCCCTGGCCTCCAGTCCCTGGCCCCTGGCCGCGTTCAGGGGCAGGTCCTGGTGTTTGTTGGATTGGGGAAATGGATTTACGGTTGCCAGGACAGCGGTGTCACCCTCCTTGACCCGTTGGTGTGGCTGGTCACAGTCACTCTGGGGTCGTGGAATGTCATACTGTCTGAACAAGTTGAGGAAGGGATGTGCAAAACTGGCCTTTTCGCTTAAGAAAATAGGGAACGTGCCGATATCTTAAATACTTAGAAGTGAATTATTAGTATTCGCTCGTAATCCCTCTATGGAAGTCAACCACGCTTTTTTCTCTTTGTTAGATTATAGGATAATTGAAAAGTAGTACAAGAAAGGAGAGAAAAGCAAGTGTTGAACAATGTGGCAGAGAAAAAAAACAGGGCATATCTAAGAGGCCATTTTTTTCCTATTATTAGGTGGAAAGCACCGGAAAGATTTATGGAAACAGCATTTTTTATAAATTTGCCTGCAGTCACCTTTTTGAGGTGCACTGGAGGCATGAGGGAGTAGTGTAGTGTTAAAGACTGATTATTAGACTCGCTAACAGAAATGCACCATTTCATTGTTGTGTGTGTGTCTTGAAGTCCAATTGAGGCTACTCAGTTTTTGTTTCCATGACGGTTAGTAAGATATTAAAAATTACATTTTGTGTGTGTTGAGTATGTATACATTTACAATATTTACAAATTTGCCTAACTTTGTAAAACATCACACAGCTTATTAGGGGAGAGTCATATGATACTTGAATGGATGTTAACAGAGATCAAATGAAGAGCAGAGAATTGGAGTCCAGAGACTTGCGTCCCAGGGTGATATGAAGCAAGTCACTAAACTGTGATTTATCTGTTTCCTCCTCTGTTCAGAAGAATATTTTGTAGTGTTGTAAAGATCAACACATACAGTATTTTCAAGCTTACAAAAAGTACTAGGATAGTCCATGTAAAGTAAAATACAGAAGCAGTGTTTTAATAAGGAGCATCTTATATTGTCAGGGAATGTGCATCCCTCCCTTTTATAAGGAGTCAAGGGATGCACATTGTGACTCCTGTGGGGTCGTGCTGCCAGCCACAAGACTAAGATTGTTGTCTATTAGTACTCTTTTTTAAAAAAAGAGAAAAATATTTATTTATTTGAAAGAGCTACAAAGAGAGGTAGAGACGCACAGAGAGATCTTCCGTCTTCTGGTTCACTCCCAAATGGCCACAACAGCCAGAGCTGGGCCCATCCAAAGCCACAAGCCAGGAGCTTCCTCCAGGGGCACACATGGGTGCAGGGGCCCAGGGACTTGGGCCATATCCCACTGCTTTCCCAGGTTCTTAAGCAGTGAGCTGTATTGAAAGTGGAACAGCCAGGACTTGAACCAATGCCAATAAGGGATGCTGGAACCTCAGGCCAGGGCTTTAACCTGCTGTGCCACAGTGTTAGCCCCTAGTTCTCCTTTCAAATGATGTTGTATTTGAGTACTTGGTACTATGTGCAGTTTTCCCAGAGATTGTGTTGGTATTATAGTGTATCTTGCTAGTGATGACTTTGAGAATCAAATTTTCAGTATTAGAAAACATGTTGGGGGGCAGCTCTGTGGCATAGTCCTGGCTGCTGCAGTTCTGATCCAGCTCTGTGCTGTGGCCTGGGAAGGCAGTGGAAGATGGCCCAAGACCTTGGGCCCCTGTGCCCGCATGGTAGACCCGGAAGAAGCTCCTGGCTCCTGGCTTCGGATCTGCTCAGCTCTAGCTGTTGCGGCCATCTGAGGAGTGAACCAGCGAATGGAAGACCTCTCTCTCTCTCTGCCTCTCCTTCTGTCTCTGTGTAACTCTGACTTTCAAGTAAATACATCTTTAAAAAAAAAAAAAAATGTTGAACTTAATTGGTAGAAATAATCTTTCTAGTGAAAAATTTATAACTGAAAATGAGTATCTGGTGTTAATGCTAACAACCAAGTTAGTATTCTGAATTTGAACTTCCTTTTTTCATAAATTACTACATAATCAAGTATCTGCCTCAAATAGTAATGAGATAAGCAGGGTATTTGCCTCTCTTTAAGTGAGACAGTAATGCCACCCTCCCCCCAACTGGCAACACTCCCCATATAATTTTTAGAAACTATTTCCTGTTATAGGTTGTTAACATTAAAAATAGCTGGGCTGGAACCTCAGTGTTAAGGAAAATACTTGGGTACTGCAAGTGGCAAAGGGTGAGTGAGGGTGGCCTGAATACACACCAGTTTGTAAGGCTTTGGGATTTGGGCTTTAATTTGTTAAGTGGATGACCGTGGCATCAGATCTCCAGTCCTACTATTTATGAGCTTTGTAAACGTTAGCTGTATGAGTTGGTCATTTGCTCTGTTTCTCCAGTTCTTTCATCTGTAAAATAGAGATAACAATTACACTTACAATTATTGTAAACTATTACTGTTACTGTGAAGATTATGTTTGGTTTTAAGAAACACTTGGTGCCTAGTGTATGTAAGTACTGTATGTTGGCTATTATTAATTTTATAATTTCAATCTCAAGATATTTTTCTCTTTTTCTAGTCCCGTTTAGACATTTATACCTTTAAAGCATATTTTCTGCTGTTCTATCTGTAAGAGACTATTTAAAATGGTGGCACCAAAGAATAGTTGTTAATTCCTAATTGAAAGAGGATTGGAAGTTGTGACTCATGCAATCTGACAGCAGAGGTTAAGTTAACAGGACAATCTTACCAGAGCTTGATGGTGGATAGTCAACAAATAGATTAGCTTGACCAGCTGCTTTTTTGTCTGTGAAAATAAGTTGGACTTCTGTGTTATTCTAGCAACAGATGCTCTGTTTGAATAGAGGAAGAAAACATAATTGCCTTGGGTATGTAAGGCATACTGTTGGATACAGAAAACCACAGTATTATCTCCTAGAAATAAACAGAAGGATTTTGTTTATATCGAGTTTCTGGGACACTTTTGTGAACAGGATGTGTTATGGATAGGTGGCTTTGTTTGATACTCAAACCTTTTGATTATGTCCTTGAGTGGTTTTAAGATAAAATCCCAAAGGTTTCTTTACCTGATGAAATGTACATGTTCAAAGAAAACATTGAAACAAGACTTTTGCACCTTTCTAGAATCTTGAAGCTTGGAATTTGATAGTTTAAGTTCACATTCACAGAGATCACTGTTTCTAGGAAAGGTGCTTATTGTAGGAATAATAAAAGGTAGAGGAGGAGACAAAAGATCCCAGAGGAAGTAAGTCACCAAGAGTATAGAGATAACCTCTTTTTAAAATTGAATTTGGCAGTGTTAGAAAATCACAAAGACAGTGGAGAAGATCTTTTGAGAAATTTTGGCACAGTGCCTCTTTGCTTGTCTAGACGTAAGCGGGATTACTGATGCAGCAAACATGTATTGCATATTTGTTATAGTGATAGATATTCCGTTCCAACCTAGGGGTTGAAAATATTTTGAAGCTGCTAGGTTTTTGTCTCTAGCCTTATTTTTGTGTGTTTTTTCCCTCTTAGTTAACACTTCTTGCCAGCTACAAGGTTCTGATAGAATCTAGTCTGGTATTGATGCTTGTTAATTGATAGTTAATTGTGTTTTGAAGTAATTTATAAAAGTATTGGTACAACAACTAGCCTGTGAACTTTTTTACAGTGCACATATAAATTAGGAAAGTTTATTGTAGGAAAATTGGAAATATAGATAAAATAAAATAAAAGCATAATCTTTCCATTCAGAGATAAACTCTTTCAACCTTACACCTAGTCTTGTTATACACATGGAAGCTTAAAAAGTATAGTGGTATCATGTTATATGATAGCATTGCTTTATAATTTGCCTTTCACACAATGTTTCATGAATATTCTTCCATGCTAATATTATTTTGTAACAATGATTTGGCAGAATATTTTTGTGTGGATGTATTGCTTAATTTTATTATTCATTTACAATGAACCTGACCTTTTCATCTTAAAAATAATGCTGAGATGAGCATCCTTGTAGCCAAGTCTTGGCTTATACCTTTAATTATTTAGTTATAATAAATCAGTAGAAATGGGACTTCTGATTCCTTGTAGATATATCTAAAAAACAATCTCTCAATGTGTTATTGCATTATTGCTAAGTTTCCCTTCACAAGGGTTATGTCAGTTTATACTCCTACCAGCAGTACCTCACTGAACCCTCATCTCCCATCACATTGCACTGCTTGTCTTCATTAGATGAGAGGAGCTCTGGCTTCCATAGGAGAATAAGAGCCTCCTTGACTTCACCAGGTGGAGCAACCAGTTTATTGTTACTTTTAAAAAAAGATTTATGTATTTATTTCAAAGGCATTTACAGAGAGGCAGAGAAAGAGAAAGAAAGAGAGGTATTCCATCTGCTGGTTCACTCCCCAAATGGCTGCAGTTGCCGGAACTGGGCTATTTGAAACCAGGAGCCAGGAGCTTCTTCTGGGTCTCCTATGCAGGTGCAGGGGACGAGGGACTTGGGCCATCTTCCACTGCTTTCCCAGGCCATAGGAGAGAGATGGATTGGATATGGAGCAGCTGGGACTCAAAACTGGTGCCCAAATGGGATGCTGGCACTGCAGGCAGCAGCCTGTTATGCCACAGTGTCAGCCCTGG